GCTACAACCTGTCAATCACCATTTGCGCCACTTCGCAGTTGTCACGCATTCAATCCTTCATCACACATAATCAAACTCCTGATGACTTCCCCTCAACGTACCCTTTCAAATCCCGTACCCAAATCTCAAAGTTCTCCTTCAACCGACCCCCAAACATCCACCACACAACATACACCAAATACCCAACCTGGGCCTCCCAATTGCGCACCTCAGTCCCCCGCCTCATCTGCCCATCTTCCCCTGGAACCTCTACCTCCACAATCTCATGTACCCTTTCTGCCGTCAGCAGCGACGCAGGAAATCCGCCCTTGGCATTGGGGTCACTGGCCCACACAATCCGCCCGGGTTTCTTGGCGCTGGGATTCGGCGGCTCAATCTCGATGACTGCAAGCTGGGTATCGTTTGCCTTTTGCGGTTTAGTCGACGAGGGATTCATGTGTACGTGGAAGGTCATTCTGGTTCCTTTTTGTAGGATCGGGGAGAGGGAGTCGGGGGAGGCATCAGGGGAGTCTGGTTGTTCGCGGATGGTAACTCGCGGGACAAAGGTGTTCCACGTTGGCCAGGTGGAGGTGTCGATTAGGGCATTCCAGACGTCTTGTGAGGGTGCGTCGATGTGTGTAGCACTGCTGAGGTGGAGGACGGCGTCGGATGCGGAGATGTTGGGAGTCGAGTTGGAGCTGAGGGATGGGGACGCAGACGTAGATGCCATGATGATTTGCGGTTGAGTAGAGGTAGTAGCCTGAGGTGAGTACCAATAGTTTGGTTATTTGAGCTGTCTAGCTAGAATCGCCTGAGGTTGTTGTTGTTGTTGTCGATGTTTATCTAGATCACGATGGCCCACTGTCTCCACATAAGCTTGAGTTTAGTAGGTCAGGTGTATGGTTCAGAGCCTGAGGCTGCAAAGGCCCTCCACGTCAATCTGGCAGCTCCAGATCAAGACTCAAGTAGATATTATTAGAAATCTTCATCTCACGATGATGATAACCTCGGCTATTCAATTAGCTACTGTCAACTATGGAGTGTACCCCATATTGTCCCTCCCCAATCCCCGTCCTAATTCCTCCACCAATGCGATGGCATATGACCCCATACCAAGCATCCATCTTGGCTCTGATCAGCTCTATACGGGTGGTGCTCAAATTTCCGTCCATACAAGTCATGTAACTTTCGAGTTTCTCCGTGCAATAGTACTCGGTAGCTCCTCCAGGTCCTACTCGATGGAGCTATCCTGATGGAAACTATTTAAATCCACCGAGTTATGCGTCCATGGTATGTGCCCCAGCAACTGCTTTTCTACTCAATTCATCATGCTGATCACCAACGCAGCTCTTCTGGGCGTCCTTGCCTCTGTTGCCCCGCTGGCTTTGGGAGCTCCCAGTCACTCGATACAAGCTCGCTCGAGAAAATGTGTGATTCCTTCAAGCTACGCATCCTCTCAGGGAACCGCAGATGACTCCCCTGCCGTCGCCAGCGCCTTTGCCCAATGCGCCCAGAATTCGGTCATCATCTTCCAGGAGGGTGTTGGCTACAACATCTTCCACCCGATCAAAGCGACCAATCTCAGCAATGTCGAAATTCGAATGCTCGGGAACCTGCATCTTCCCCAGAACATTACCGCCGTGCAGAACATTGTCAAATCCGGCCAAAGTACCTGGTTCACGTTCGCGGGGCCCCGCGTCGACTGGACGGGACCCGACGACATCGACAACGGCTGGATCAACTCGTACGGCCAGGCCTGGTGGGACGCAAACCCGGCCAACAGCAGCAGTTTCCCAAACCGGCCGCACCTGATGAGCTACCAGACGAGCCAGGCATCGATCAAGAACTTCCGCTCGCGCAAGCCCATCGCGTGGAACGTCAAGTTACACGGCGACGACATCACCGTCACCCACGCCATCGTCGACGCCGAATCGACGGGCGGCTTCCCCTTTAACACCGACGGCTTCGACGTCCAGGGGACCAACATCCGCATCACCGACAGCATCATGTACAACGGCGACGACGCCATCGCCGTCGGCTCCCCCTCGCACAACATCGTCTTCGCCCGCAACACCATCGGCTACCAGTCGCACGGGATGAGCATCGGCTCGCTAGGCAAAGACCCCACCGACTTCGCCAACATCACCAACCTCCGCTTCGAGGACGTCACCGTCATCGACGCGCTGTACGCCGCCCGCTTCAAGTCCTGGTCCGGCGGCAAGGGCCTCGTCAAGAACGTCGTCTGGAAGAACATCCGCGTCTTCAACGTCTCCTTCCCCATCTTCGTCACCCAGAGCTACTGGGACCAGGGCGCCTCGCGGTCGGGCACCATCGACCCTTCCTCGTCCGTCATGATGGAGGACTTCACCTGGTCCGATTTCTCGGGCTCCATCAACACCTACCACCCCGGTGATGGGTCATGCGTCACCGATCCGTGCTGGTACAACGCCGGTCTACCGAACCTGAAACATACCGAGGCCATCGTGCTCGAGTGCAACACCGAGGCCTCCTGCAAGAACTTCAGGACAGAGAATATCCAGCTTTACCCGCAGAGTATGGACTCGCCTAGTGTTATTTGCATGAAGGCTACGGCGCAGCTGAACCCCAAACTGGGGTTCGAGTGTAAGAACGGTACCTTTGTTCCTCAGTGATTGGTCGAGCATTGTATGTACCTGAGCATAGATAACCTGTACCATGCATCTCTTATATTCTCCAGTATAAATAATTATCCCCCTCATCCAGTACGGACTAACAACGTACCCTCACATAAAGTCGATAAACTTTGCAAACCTACAAAGATCTATACATTCCCCTCTGAAACCAGTTTATCACCCGGCAAACCCCGAGTCCCGTCTTTGCTTTTTCGCACTTTCCCTCTCAGCGATACTCCCAGATCTTCTATGGGCATGATCCAAATCCCACCTCAACTCACTAACAACCTGGATCCCATCCGTATCCTGCAACTCATCACCATTGACCGAGCAATTCCCCGTGACACTAGCCGAGTAATTCCCACTCGTCACAGCGAACGGGTTATGAAGATGGAACGAGTAGACAGAGGGTAGCTCCTTTTCCCGTTGATGTTGACGTTGGCTGTCGCGGGCGCTCGGGCGCGGCGAGAGCAGGCGCGGGCAGATGCGGGTGAGGAGCGGATGTGTGGGCGGTAGGCAGGTGCAGATGATGGCGACGTTGGCCTCGATGGAGGACCAGGTTGCTGCTGGGCCGTTGCGCTCTTATGATCTTGTCAGTCTTGTTGGGTATGGATTTCGGGGCATGCAATGTTACCTGAGAAGTCCTCGCTGTCGCTGCTGACGAGTTGGATGATTCTAACAAGGCGGATGATGCTCATTGCGCAGACGCTGGTGGCGTTTAGTATAGGGTTGGAGCATAAAAGGGGAAGGGAGAGACGTACAAGAACCCCAGGGCGAACACTAATATCAGGGCGAACTTTTGTCTGGTTGGTAGACGCAGCCGCGCAAGTATGGGTATCGGGGTCGTGACGACCACTGTATCCGTTACGATCTGCAGCGCAGCGTTGAGACACCACACTACCGCGAAGGGGCGACATGTGGCTGGAACGGAGTGGTCCCAGAACCCGCGAACCGGGAGGCATATTAGAAAGGTGCTGAAGAGGATCCATAGACCGACAATGATTAAGAAGACGAGAAAGGCGATGAGAAGGATGCGGAAGCGCTTGTTCGTGGCCACGAAAAGACGCATATACAGCAGGATCATGGAGATTTTGGCCAGCGTAAGGGTGAGATTATAGAATGGGATGGAGACCCAGAGGGCCTGCGGGTCGAGTTGGCTATCATGGCTTCACTTCAAGTATGGAGTACGTACCTTGAGCTGAGTTCGCATATCATGCTCGCTGATTGCATCTTCTTTCTCTCCCAAGTGGTTTCGAAGTTCTACTCGAGGATAAGTTAAAGCCAAGGGCTCACACAAGCCGGTAACTTACCAATTATCAGACATGCATAGAAGACATAGTTTGTTCCCTAGGTTCGTCAACCAGTCGTGCTCTCACATCGACCATTTCATGAGCTTACCACCGCCGCAACAATCAATGCATCGTCCCAACCTGGTTTTCGGACAATCACAAACCGAGTGAACAACCGCAGGGCAACCGTCAAGGTCGACAGTATTAAAAGTGCAGTGGTAACTCCCAATATCCGGGAGGTCATGTTCACGAGTGAAGGGAGTCGCCGTGAAGCGGCGACGGCATCTTCGACAGCACTCAGTCTTCAATTGATGCGAGTAGCTGCTGCTCCATACTCTTAGAACATCTTGCAAACTTATCTGCCTGATGTTACTGCGTTGCATGGAGATATGTCGCTGTGGCCAAGTGCTTATTAAGGCAGCCTCATTGGAATGTGACTCCATTGCGTCAGCGCCCCAAGAGTCTCGAACTCTGCCCGCATCTAGATCGTCCATCCTCCACGAAACTTTAGCAGATGGTGGGGGCCTTCCACAACACACACGATTTTGACTGGTATAGGTGAAACTTTCTTTGTCCCAATGCGACATGGGTGGCGGATCAAATTCCGGCATCGAATAGCCCCTACATACCAGCCCCGAGACATCGCCGGCGTGACCCCCAGTAGTTCCGAATCAGGCATGAGGGTCCCTTGCTGATCATCCACCCATTTCTCGAGGGAGTTAGGTGGGTCAAGAACGTAGAACCGTCAATAGAATCAATTGGTGTTGGGTTTCGAAAAGTGCAACGAGGAGCAATTTGACACGTGAAGAATAATGTCGATTGTCGAGAGACAGGAACCTTACAGCTTGCCTCTTTTGAGTGGGGCTGCGAGTGTGCGACCAACACAACATGCCTCAGGCAGCTCCAACATCAACAAGGGAAGCTGTTCTGCTGCGAGTAGTCTAGAACGAGGCAACCGAATCTATCGGAAAATAATTTTTATATTGCGGCTATTCCAGAAAAGCCTTCATGCTGAAAATGGTATTTAAGTACAATCAATGCAATCAAAGAATAGAACAAATCGAAAAATAAGTTAAAACGCTTACAGTCTGGCCTTGAGATTAGACTTGAGTCTGCGCTCAACAGCAGCCAAGTACTCCTTGGTGGTAACCCAAGCCTCACGCTCCTTGCGGCCACAGGCCAGAGCCAGATCCTTGGTCATGATGCCCTCCTCGTTGACGACGTCAACGCAGGCGCGCTCGAGCTCTTCGGCGAAGGCGACGACGTCGGGGGTGTCGTCGAGCTTGCCACGCTGGATCAGACCACGGGTCCAGGCGAAGATCGAGGCAATGGGGTTGGTGGAGGTCTCACGGCCCTTCTGGTGCTCACGGTAGTGACGAGTGACAGTGCCGTGGGCGGCCTCGGACTCGAATGCGTTACCATCAGGGGTGGTCAGAGTGGAGGTCATCAGGCCAAGGGAACCGAAACCCTGAGCGACGACATCGGACTGAACATCACCGTCGTAGTCTTCACAAATCAATCAGCAAGAGACATTCAAGATGGAAAGACACCAGACAGACTCACTCTTCAGAGCCATAACGAAACCACCCTCGCTCTTGATCATCTGAGCAACCATGTCGTCAATGAGACGGTGCTCGTACCAGATGCCCTTGGCGTCAAAGTCCTTCTTGTAGGTAGACTCGTAGATCTCCTGGAAGATATCCTTGAAGCGGCCATCGTACTTCTTCAGAATGGTGTTCTTGGTGCTCATGTACAGGGGGAGACCCTTCATCAGGGCCATCTTGAAGCTGGAGTGAGCGAAGCCACGGATGGAATCATCGGTGTTGTACTGGGTCTGGGCAACACCGCCGCCGCTGAAGTCGTAGACCTTGATGGCCTGGGGCTCACCATTCTCAGGGGTGTAGACGAGCTCGAGCTTGCCGGGCCCAGGGACGACAATGTCGGTAGCACGGTACTGGTCACCGAAGGCGTGACGGCCAATGATGATGGGCTTGTTCCAGCCGGGGACGAGACGAGGAATACGGGGAATGACGATGGGTTCACGGAAGACCGTTCCACCGCTACAGGGAATGAGTATTTGACCGGAAAGAGAGCCAGTTGATTGAGGCCAACCTACAGAATGTTTCTGATGGTACCGTTGGGAGACAGCCACACTTGAGGAACTAGTTAGAGAATGGTTCAAGGACGTGAGGCGGCAAGGCTTACTCTTCTTCAGCTTGAACTCCTCGACACGGGCCTCATCGGGGGTGATGGTGGCGCACTTGACACCGACGCCATACTTCTTAATGGCCTCAGCAGCCTCGACGGTGACTTTGTCATCAGTCTGGTCACGGTATTCAATACCCTGGAACGAGATTAGCGTCGAGGACTTCGATTACCGAATATCAAGAGTATATCATACCAAGTCGTAGTACTTGAGGTCAATGTCAAGGTAACTAATCCAGACTCTCAGTTCACATCCCACTGGCAGTCCGGCGAAGCCAGTCGACAGGACAGACTTACGGAAGGATCAACTTTAGAGAGACGATGAGTCAGTGATATAGGTCTTAGCTTGAAAGAAAAAGTAGGTGATTGATCGCAGAGCTTCGGAGAGGAACGGCCCCGCATGCAGATAGAGCTGGCAGCGGCAGCGGGGAGGAGGGAGGATGAAGAACTTACTTTTTCTCTAATCTCCTGCCAGATGATACGGGTCATCTAGAATAGTTGAAACACAAATCGTTAGCCCACATATCCATCAAACAAACAACATGCGAATCGAGAAAGCATTGTTTGATATGAGTCAATAATCCTCGGAAGATTGACAGCTTTGTCCAGGTACATCAGGCGCAGTCCGCCGTTTTTCCCCGCGTTCTCGCAGACTATGACGAAAATGCACATCCGACGCGCTTGTGACAGTGAAACCAGCAAAGGTTATATAAAGAACGGGGAGGCAAGCGATCTAGCTGCAGATCGAATTCGAATTTCAAATCCGACGAGAGGAAACCTACCTCATCACCATCCAGTTCAACGACTGGATTCTTGACCTTGATCTTGGTACCTTCGGTGGCCATGGTGCGCGATTGGGTCAAACGAGACGAGGTTACTCCGGACCAGCGGGAAGAAGCAGAGAGCGAGGACGAAGCAAGAGGACGCTGAGGACGAGCTACAGCAGCAGAGGTAGAGAAGGAAGAAGAGGAAGACGAGGAGACAGAAGAAGTAGAAGAGGAAAGGGAAGAAAAGCGAACAGCGGAGGAATAGAGAGGGGCAGATCGAGGAGGGGAGCAGGCGTGGAGGGAACGTCGCGCAAAAGCGGAACTGAAACGGAGAGAGCTCATATCGATCTGGGATTAGGGAAATTGCAATATAACACTCTCGCGCGCCTGTCCTCGCTGATTCTACGTCTCGGCCCTATTGGAAACAAAGACTATTATGGCGTGGATATTGGTCGGCCCAAGGCGGTTCGCAAATCGGTACTTCCGCTTCGCTTCTAAGGGGAAAACCAGGTTGCATCAGTCAGCCAGGCGTGGACTTTGCAGATTCAGACTCGCAGTACCCGAGGGAATAGCAAGAAGAGGCTCGGCTGGAAGGAGGACAGTGGAGTCGGAAGCAGCCGTCAAGCCGGAGAAGATGGTCAGGGAACAAACATAACTTACTGATTCAAGAGCTCTCACTTGCTAAATTTCTGGGGCAACACGGGGCAGAACGGACCGCCCGGAAAATTGCTTAACGGTGATGATAGTAATAATAGTTTGGGGGTGGGAGGAATATTTGGTGGACGTCCAAGTGAAGAAGTCCGGTCCAAAAGGATGAAGGAGAAGGCGTCCTCTTATCCCAGCAGGAAAAGCCTTTGCCCGGTTGCTCTATGACTGATTCTTTTTGCTCCTCACGTCCTTCAACTGATCTGAATTAGTTGTTTTTGTTGACCATTTTTCCTTAGCAGGACTTGGAACTCCGCTCAAAGCGCCGAAGCCGGACATTTCCAGATTCTATAGCCTCAGGCAAATGCTGACTAAGTGTTTTCTGTCCATCCCCGATTGTCGGCTCGTGGTGTTTCGAGCAGCGCGTTTTGAACCAGTAGACCACCCAGGAAATAACCTCGGTTTCCCGCGGCAAGGGATGCCATCATATACTACCGCCGGAAAGCGATACACCGAGATCGCCTATATGCGGATCTTTTGGTACAGCACGGGAGTGGAATTGGCTTCGGTGAGAGATTCAAGTTATCAAGTGATAATATCGATGATTAATTATCCGAGTTGATAAATATCAATCTCCCAGACACGTCGCAGGTTGGTGGAATTTTTGTCATATCTATGAAGCTCTGTCCCACATATCGGGGAGGTTAGAACCAACTCCGAGTCTCCGCAGTCCGCACCTTATTTCCATCTCAGTATGTTGAAGACCACCTGCGTCTAGACACAACATCCAATCTAATGTCATCACACATGTTGAATTAAAGTGTACATCACAATCAAATAATATGGTATAAAAACTGGAGGAGATAAACATCGCTCCGAAAATGAAAAAAGCACTGAACACGGCAAGGGAGGATCTCATCAGCCTAGAACAGGCCATCAATCTCCCCGGTCTCGGTGTCGATATCAACGTTCAGATAACCCGGAGCAGTCGGCAATCCGGGGATAGTCTGGATGTCTGCCGCAAGTGCGTAACTGTGTGGGTTCATCCACTGGTTAGCCGATTGATCCGCTGGAGCCATATGATGAAATAAGCACTTACAGATATCCACTTCCAACCGCCAGCCGAACATCACGGATGGGAACTGTAAAGCCCGTTGGGGCGCCCTTGAGCGCGGGATCATGACTCAAGGAGTACTGGGTCTTGGCAATGCAGATCGGAAGATTGGAGAAGCCTTGTGCCGTGTAGGTGTCGACCTTCTTCTGCGCCAGCTCGCTGAACTCGACCTTCTCCGCACCGTACATGGCCTTTCCAATGCGCTCAATGCGCTCCTGGATGCTGCCCTCCAAGTCGTACAGGAGCTTGAAGTCCTTGGGCTTGGAGCTAGCTGCCAACACCCCTTTGGCAAGGTCAACGGCTCCGGCACCTCCCTCGGCCCAGTGATTGGCAGGGATGGCATCCTCCGCACCGGCAGCAATAGCCTCCTCGCGGATTATGGCAATTTCGGCTTCCGTGTCCGTCTCAAACCGATTGATGGCTACCACCACTGGCACCCCGTACATCTTGGCGTTCTGTATGTGCTTCTTGAGGTTCACACAGCCCTTGCGGAGAATCTCGGTGTTCTCAGTGCGGTAAATCTCGTGGAGCGGCGCTCCAGGGCTGATCTCCGGCCCACCACCGTGAACCTTCAGAGCCCGGACGGTGGCAACAATGACCACACAGTCTGGGGAGAGGCCAGAAGACCGGCACTTGATGTTAAAGAAACGCTCACCTCCCATGGTGAAGTCGAAACCGGCCTCGGTAACCACGAAACCAGTCTTAGCCTCGTGATCCTCATCAGGTTCAGTACCCGCGAGCTTCAGCGCCAATTTATCGGCGATGATAGAGCTGGCACCAATACTGATGTTGGCGAAGGGACCGGCGTGGACCAGCACTGGAGTCCCCTCCAAGCTCTGCATCAGGTTGGGCTTGATGGCATCCTTCATCAGGGCGGCCAAAGCTCCGCCGGCGCCAATATCGTCGCAAGTCACGGGGTCCCCGCTCTTAGAGGTGGCAACGACCATGCGTCCCAATCTCTCGCGCATATCGTCGAGACTGTTGCTCAACGCAAGGATGGCCATGCATTCACTGGCCACGGAGATGTCAAAGCCCGTCTCGCGTGACAAACCCTTTTCAGTAGGGGCCTGTCCGACTGTAATGCCACGAAGGTGACGATCATTGACATCCAACACGCGGCGCCAGGTGATTGTCTGCGGATCGATGTCAAGACGCGCGAAACGGCGGATTTCTTCCTCGGTGAGATCGTCAGGGTTCGTTTTAGTAATGCCAAGCTTCTTGAGTCTTCTGAACATGATGGGCTGGAATTCGCGCTTGCCCTTTTTGACAGGGACCAGCCGCTTGTAAAGAGCAGCATCCTTCTGGGTAGCTTCATGGAACATGCGAGTTTCAATGGCGGCAGCCAGAAGGTTGTTGGCAGCAGTGATCGCGTGAATATCACCGGTCAGATGGAGGTTGAACTCGTCCATGGGAATGACCTGGCTGTAGCCTCCACCAGCAGCGCCACCCTTGATACCAAAGGTGGGACCCTGACTCGGTTGCCGGACATTGGCAAACACGATCCGGTTCAGGTGCGCGCCCAGCGCTTGAGTGAGACCGAGCGTAGTCGTGGACTTGCCCTCTCCAAGAGGCGTAGGAGTAATACCGCACACCAGGACATAACGTCCGTTGCGACGGTGAGCCAAGCGGTCCAGAACACTCAAACTGACCTTGGCCTTGGTGTGGCCGTAAGGCTCCAGCTCGTGGGGAGCAATGCCAACCTCCGCGGCAACTTGAGTAATGGGCTTGGGGTACTGAGCACGGGAGATGGCAATGTCGGAAGGGACAGGCTGGACCAGCTTGATGGGAAGCGGAGTAACATGTCTGTCCCGCTGCTTCTCAAAATATGCCTTGGCCGAAGTAACGACATTCTTCAGCAGCATGGCGACTGTCATGGGACCGACACCGCCGGGAACCGGGGTGATCTGCGAGGCTACCTCTGCGGCGGACTCGAAGTCGACGTCTCCGACAAGACGCTGTCCCGACTTCTTCGAAGGATCAGGCTTGTAATTAATGCCAACATCGATAACAACGGCACCAGGCTTCAGCCAGTCGCCCTTGACGAATTCTGCCTTTCCAATGGCTGCAACGACAATGTCGGCGTTCTTCACGATGCGGGGGATGTCCGGCGTCTTGGAGTGGCAGACAGTCACGGTGGCATCTGCATTCTTCAACAGGTAGCTGACAGGGCTACCGACGATGTCACTACGGCCAAGAACCACTGCCTCTTTGCCGGCGGGGTCTACTCCACTTGCCTTGAGGAGGTCCATAACAGCCAGCGGGGTGCAAGGGACGAAGAGGGGATGGCCACCTCTTTTGGCCAACTCTCCAATATTGATTGCGCCGAAACCGTCGACATCTTTTTCATCCGCAACCGCAGATGTGACAGTATGTTCCGACAGGTGGCTAGGAAGGGGAAGTTGGACGAGGATGCCGTGCACCGAGGGATCGTTGTTAGCCTTGGTGATTTCCTGAAGGATCTCAGGTTGAGAGATCGATTCGGGAAAGTTGACAATCTTGCAGAGAATGTTCGCCTTTACAGACGCAGTGAATCAGTAAGGATCCAAGGGCGTATGGTGAGAGATTACGGGATTTATATTCATACCTCTTCAGCGGCCTTCAATTTCATGCGCACGTATGTGCCTTGAAGCAAATTAGAACACACCTTATATATAGCGCCGAAGATCATAAAACTCACTCGAATCCGATCGATTGCCGACTAGAATTGAAGCAATGTCAGTACCTCCGCCGGGCCGGGTTCATGATGTCCGGCTAAACGTACCCTGAAAGATGACCAGACTCGGCTTGAACCGAGGATTAGACTCTTGAATCTTCGCAATCTCGGCTTTCAATCCCTCTCTGATTCTCTTGGCAATGGCCGTGCCATCAATCTTTGTGGCCGCCATGACGGTAGGTGTGCTGGAGAATGAGCGACGGGAAAGTGATGGTCTCGGGAAGGTCCTGAAACCGGGAAAGTCGACCACACGTCCAGCGAAGTGATGTCGAAAAGTCCCAAGGAGAGGCGAAGTCAAGGGTGGGAAGATGTAAGAAGAGTAAAGCTGACTGCCAAGATGACAGGAGAAGATCTTTGACTTCACAGCACAGCGGGGTAATGTCGCCGAACGAGCGGGGGAAAAGGGCATCGACTGCTGCTTGTTGGGGGCTTTAGGTGCAGCCCTGGACGAGTAACGATAGGAGATTTCCGTCGGGAAAGCAAATTGACAACTTAAGCTCCACTTGAAAGTGATTAAAGGAGTGACCCCTATAGATAATTACACAGTAAAAAAAAATTGAAGAAATAAACAATAGGCTCATCTATACATTGATCACTGAGTTAAGTCAACGGACTTTCCAATTTCTCCCGTTCCCTGAGAGAAACAAGAAAAATCTCTTTCGAGTTTTGAGTCATTCCATGATAACTCCCTTGGGTACTGTCCCGCTAGATCCTCACATGCAAATGCTTGACTCTGACTTAGTAAAAAGGGTTATGTAAGATGCAGATGGGACTTGACTCGATCTGGAATAGTATACCGTGTACCTGAGGGCTGGTTTAGCTTAGAGATCATAACTGATAAGGGCTGACGGATTATTAAGAGCCTGAGGCAGACACTCTTCGAACATCGGAATATCCTCAATCCGACACTTGTTTGCCCCTCAGGCAAACAACCTCGAATAGGCAAAGGTCTTGGCGCGCAACGCCAGACTGAACTGTGCGATCCAAATTCACACTGAATAATTAGTCGACGACGCCGACAAGGACAGCCCGCCAGCATCCCCGCCTGAATAACGCAAGTACCGGACACTCCTGTTGCGGAGGACGTTTAATTCAAGTTTATTTCTTTTTCTTTACACCCGGACATTGTTTCTTCTGACCCAGGATGAGGCCTATTCTGCTCTCGGGCCATGTACGTTGTGCCCTCAAATCTCCACCAGGATTTGCTTTGCCGCTTTTATTGGAACTAGCGACTGATATTTCATTTTTACTGCAGGAACGGTCCCTCAACCAGATCAAATTCAACCGCGATGGCGATCTCCTGTTTTCCGTGGCGAAGGATAAAGTCGTATGTGCTTGGTGGTCGGCCAACGGCGAGCGACTTGGTACCTACAATGGCCACCAGGGTGCCATCTGGACGGTCGATGTCAGCCCCAACACAGTTCTCCTGGCGACCGGCTCGGCAGACAACACTGTGCGACTGTGGAACGTCAAGACTGGCGAGTGTGTGAAGGTCTGGGAGTTCCCTACCGCTGTGAAGCGGGTCGCATTCAACCCCGATGGAAGCAAGCTGCTGGCTGTGACGGAAAAGCGTATGGGATTCCTCGGTACGATCGCTGTGCTCGACATCAGTTATGGTGATGATCAGGGTGATGGTCTAGAGAACCAGGCCGATGAGCCTAGCTTGAGAATCACCTGCACAGAGAGCAAGGCCACCGTGGCTGGCTGGAGTTATCTAGGCAAGTACATCATTGCTGGACACGAAGATGGCAGTGTCAGCCAATACGATGGAAAGGTGGGCATATTCCGCTCCCGAAATCTGGAAAGCTATGCTAATTTGCGCACAGACTGGTGAGCAGCTGGAGAACGTTCAGGCGCACGAGTTCGATCATCAGATCAACGACATCCAGTTCTCTCAGGACCGTACTCACTTCATCACTGCCTCGAAAGACAAGTCCGCCAAGGTTTGTTCTTATCCCTTCTGTCTGCCATCTGTTGTCAAAAGCTGACCATCGCTAGCTCATCTCCTGCCGTAACCTCGCCATCCTCAAAACATACGTTGCCGATACTCCCCTGAACAGCGCCACCATCACTCCCAAAAAGGACTACGTGATCCTCGGTGGTGGCCAGGCCGCCATGGATGTCACAACCACCTCCGCCCGGCAGGGTAAATTCGAGGCCCGTTTCTACCACAAGGTCTTCGAGGACGAGATTGGCCGCGTCAGAGGCCACTTCGGTCCCCTCAACACCGTTGACGTTCACCCCAACGGCACAGCGTATGCCTCCGGTGGTGAGGACGGTTATGTTCGTGTGCATCACTTTGACAAGCCCTACTTTGATTTCATGTACGAGGTCGAGAGAGAGCAGCTGAGGAAGTGAATCGGATGATATCCACAAGCTCTTTGTTTTTCAAGTCGTGCATTATCTGTATGAGTCATGAGACGAACGCTTTTTTGCTCATAAAAGAAGGAAAAGCCAGGCGCGGCGGAAATGGGTAGAAGACCTGGCGGGGTCAAATACAGGGCATGATTTTCTCATTTCATCTACGGAGTTGGTACCTCTTTTTACTATCCTTTCTTCTTGTTCTCCATCCTCATCTTACCTCGACCTCTTGCCATCTTAATCAAATGAATTGCCCTTTTGATTCTTCCCGTCAGTTCTCCTTCACTGTCCATATTCACCTGAATTATGTGCCCAGGCGGAGGAAATACCCTCGTCAGAACTATTGCTGTCCATCACTTCGTCAGTGCCGATGGGTGCCTGATTTGGATGGCTTCAATACGCTGGCGGCTTTATGAGAATTGAGCACCTGTCGTTCAAAAAAGATTCATGGATAGACTTTTTCAACCAACATAACCAATTCTGGATTCCCATAATCCTTTTATCTATGTTAGAGTCCCTGCTTGCCTCTCTAATCGGTAGGTGATTCATATCCTCTAAGCATGCCGGCCACAACTTTCTGCCAATAGAGAAATAGCACAAAGAATTGACTTTTAAGACTTTTTCCGGGGATCCTTGGGTTTACTGTACCATTGGCCACATTTACCCTGGTACCTAGACGTCCGTTTGCCACCTCCGATCATCCTACTCCGTGAGCACCCCAGTAGGCGCTTTGCAATTTCAGTAGAGGCCTTTGCAAGGCCTTGAAGCATTTAGCGTGCTGTTTCAGACAGGTTGTCACTTAGGCTAACATTTGAGTTATTTGTCCAAAAATCCGCAGGCTAGGCGCCAATTCATCTATTGTTCTATATCCATGAGATATTCTATAGACAACTCGGCGAAACCAGCGCGCAAACTGAGAGAAGCCTCCAACTTTGCAATCTGCAACCCCGTCGATGCCATGAGATCCCTCTTATAAGATGAATGTCCAGAAGCGGGGATAAAAACGCAAAGCGAATCCGTAGAAGCGCCAGAAAAGCAAGTGGTATTTCTATGCCGTGACATATGAATCGTTTCAATGCCAGCCCAGCGCTCTTCCGACCAGCAGAAAACATAAATAACAAAAAAAAGGGACACGGGTTCTAACTGAAGAAGAAAGGCGTATCATGACATAAAAAAGAAGACATCAGGAAAAATCAAAAACTTTAGGTTTTTCATCTTCCCTAAGAAAAAGGCGCGGGCTCACCCCCGTTTTACTTCTTCTTAGGGAACTTCTCCTTCCCGATGTCCGAACCTCTGAGCTTGACGTTCAGCACACGCTCCATAGCGCTAAGCACCTTCTGGTCGGGCGCGGCCGTACCCCTCTCGAAGTCCTGGATAATTGTAATGGTGGTGTTGCACTTGGTGGCGAGTTCCTTCTGTGTCATCTTGTAGCCCTCCTCGTTTCGGCGCTTCTTGATGGCGTCTGCGACCTGAAGACCGACAGTCTTGGGCTTGACGATATCGTCGCTTCGGTCGACCTTTGTCAGGTGCTGACCTTCCATGGCAGCTGTCTTTGCGGCCTTGCAGAAAATGTCAGTAGGGGCTCAAAATTGAGAGGGATGTGAATCCAGAACATACAGCATTGCCAGTTGCGTACTTCTTCTCAGTACCAATGATGAGACCCTGGCGCTGAGCAGCGTTCAGAGCACTCTTTCCCTTGACTACTGTCTCTCGGGGAGCGGCACCAGCACGGTGCTTGGTTCCGATGCGTGTGACAGAATCCCACTCGCTCATTTTGAAGGATGTGTAGCTCGAAGTGTATGGAGGACTTTATGGATGACGATGTTGGGGATGAGAGACGTGTCTGAGGTGGGAGAGTAGAGGGTGGCGGAGAGATTGATCGCGTGAGGTTGTGACTGAGAAGGAGAGAGTCCACAGAGCCACCGAATTTATACTGATGAACAGAAGCTTCTCGAGCCCTGAGCGGCGCAGTTTAGAGGGGAGTCATGCGCTATTCCTCTCTAGGACTAGCGTGGCTGACATCATTACCACTCATTCAGAGTCTCAAAGAGGGTTGGAGATGCGTTCCCTCTCTCTTAAGACACTCCGTAGATACTCCATGCTGAATCAACATCTCCGAATCCGAGTCAGAAGTGACACGGGCTATCATTTGGATATTATAGAAGATTAGTTACAGGAGAGAATATTGAGTGCAGTCCCAGTTAAACTTTCCTCTTTTCCTATTTTCTCATCTCGAACACTCTTTGATTGTACAACGGCGTTAACGCCACCATACATAAGCAAAATGTATATGAAATTATGGTGTGTGCGAAAACTACTTCAACATCGCAGTGGGAGTGGAAGCAAAACATTCGACATAGCCCTCGGGCTACGGGGTTAAAAAAAGTAGAATGACAGAGAAACAAAAGAAATCTAGCAAACTGCCTCCGGGGAGGATTGATCCCGACCTTGAGATGTCCCAGAAGTGATTCTTCTGATCATATAGAAGATATGAGACTCACGTGATAGCCAACTACAACACAGAGGCGGCTATAGCGTACCCAGTGCACCAATTTCCTTCAAGAGAGGCAGTCAATCTTGTCGATTAATCTGATAGACAATTGTCGAGCACAGCCAACGTGTTTGAGCAGCAATGACCATCAATGCTGTGCGTCATGATCCACATATTGTTATCAAATGTGATATTTTCATTAAGAATACCTAGGATAGGTTGAGCAAAAAATCCGCCTGAACGCCGTTTCCATGACTGAGGAAGAAACCCATTCTCAAAACCTAAGAAGACTGGAGGAATAAACGCTAGAAGATACTATTCACAATGTTGGAACCGATAGTAGCACCGGCACCAAAGATAGCTAAGACATAGTTAGTGACCACAAACACATCCTCAATGGAGCGACAATCGACGTACCGGCATTGCCCATCTTCTTTCCAAACTTCTTGCCATGCTCCTCGAATTTGCCGCCGGGTCGCTTTCCATCCGGGGCAGAAGAGCCGCTCTGGCTAACCTCGAGAGGCACATTTCCATAGTTGGTAGGAGGGGGAGACGACACTCCCTTCTCTTCTATTACGTTCACATAGCTGCGAGGGAAGATACCCTCAAGGTTGGTCCGTTCGTTACGGCCACGCCACCCTATGTCCGTTAGCTTGAATTCTCTGGCATTGCCTCCAAACCAACGTACAATCTGCGTTCATGTGTTCCAAAACTTGGACACGGTCGTGTGGCTGCAGAGCAAGATCACCAGCATCTGTTGGGGTATATGCATAGAGTGCTGTAGCGACGGACAATACGGGCGCAGCTTGAGGGTAAGCGGGTGGGGGAACTGAGGGGGCCGAGTATTGTTGTTGCTGCAGAGCCGCCTTTTCGTTCAGAGAGCTATTGGCGAGCTGGGATGTGGGAGGAGCATATGATGCCGGGGGAGGCTGAGATTGAGCGACAACCGGTTGTTGCTGTTGTGGCTGAGGAACTGGTGAAGCGGCTTGTTGGGGGCCCTCGTTAGGCAGCTGAGCCAGTATCGACGAGAGTTGCTGACGTGTAATGACCGAAGCATCTGCAAGAAACTCGAGCTCCTAGGATATATCAGCAAGGCGTGCGACAGACGTCGGAAAGATTAAGAAAATAATGCGGCATCATCATACCGATCGGATGGTGCGGAGCGAGCGGTTGCTCATTGCGGTCATGAAGCTGCTTTGGGTAGCCATGACGAAGCGGATATTGATTTAGAGATGATAGGAGGTGTTACGGTGATGAAAAAGACCGATGGAAGTGAAATGGCCGCTGGAGCAGATGTCGACTAACAGGAAGGCGTAGTCGGTTATCACTAATAATATATGTTTTCAGGAACTCAGGCACACATGGCATTGGACCCGGGAGTGGATGGAGCCGAAACAGAGCCACAATTTCTATGTATTTTATGGGGCTTGGCAGGCTATGTTACATTGCCATGCCTACAGAATGCTACTAGGTAAACTTGGATGTTTCCATCAATAATAAAACACAATCATTGATTGAGTGCGCAGTTTCATATAAAATTTACTAAAGCATTCATGAGGCTGTACTTCTTGATAAAAGACTCTGTATTCTGGATCTATTCTATGCCCTAAATTTCATTGTTAATGCTTCGATTTACTGGCTAATGCAGGCGTAGTACAAGTGTTATGCTGATGACGTACTGTAAGAGAACGTCCCGCTTATGGGACTGGTGGGATCAATTATCAGATGGAAATACCTTGCTAAAGGATACAGAAATTGTAGTACATCAACTTACAAAACATCCAGCTAATGCAATTAGCATAGTTACTGTAGAGACAAATTAATTCACTCCTTCCGGTTGTTGCCTAATTGGCTTTTGCTCCATAATGGTAGAGACAGTTTGTTCCAAAACATTTCAAATGCATGCTAGGTCAATTGCAGTCGGTAACTGCCAGTTCTCCTTTATATCCTGCTGAATTTGGCTCTGTAGAGTGAGGATAAGTAATTGCTGGGACTAAGACCTGGCCAAAGCCAGCAAGAAATTGCACTCATTATTATCACCATAAGGCATGAGTTCATAACAGAGATACGAACCGACGATCACCTGTATTCTGGGGTTGTGGCTGGGCGGTCCGCAACTACACTTGACTTCGATTGCCCCACCGTCACCGATCTACCGTAGTACTGCTTCAGACTTGGAGATGCAAACGAGGGATCGTCGATATTGCTCATGAATCAATCCATGGTTAGATACTAACATAGCAAAGGGAGTGAGACGTCTTCAAGAAGGGCAACCCTTTGCGCAGTATATTTGGTGCACAAACGCCTTGATATCCGACAATAAAAGACACTCAAATGAGAAGCCTACATCGCCTCGTATGACCTCTGATTAGAATTTTCTCATGGCTCCTGAGCCAGTACAACGACAAGAGCCCAAACAAAATCGACCCTTTTCTTGAACATGGAGTCTCTGATGGAAATTCTGAGCGCATGCCTCACGCGAGTTCAACCCTCAGATTGAGGGTAAGCTTCTCACTGAGTGTGTGCCTCAAGTCGAAGCGAGGTTTCAGATCAAGTCGAGGCAAAATCTGGAATACGAGTACAGATTCGCATTGAGGATGTGTCCTTAGCTATAGAGGTGAGCTATCCATTGACTGAGTGGATAGAGCTGTACGGCGAAGAAGAAGCACCAGGGCAGGTTATACTACGAGTGGAAATCTCCGAAGATGCGGAAGATGCTCGGATCTAGTTGGCGAAGCCATCCAGAGTTCAGACTATGAACCGGGTGGCTCAGGTGATTGCAAGTCACTGTGTGTTTTATCAGAAGCATGTGCGAGACCTCAAGGATGCCATGATCGCAAAGCCATCTTGCAACAGACACAGGCCCGATGAGATTGAAGAATTTGTATCGATTTGAACCTCAAGAAGCGAGCATCACCGTCCTTTAGCATGGAAGAATGATCGTCGAAGGCGCGCCTCTTCTGGAGGATGCTGTGAGATGCCTCTAGGGGCCGGTATTGAAGCCTCAATCCAGGATAGCATCACCAAAATCCCTGGACACTTCTCTGAAGAGGGTCTGTTATGACTTGGCTCGAGGATCATATACTGCCACAGATCATCTTCCAAATATTGATACTAGGATATCCTACAAGCAGATGAGATATGCGTTCTAGCCAAACGAGGAGAGACCCAGATCAAACAAAATAAGCAAGCCAGATTGAGGAAACACAAGTTTCAGCGGCCTCAGCAGAAGCCATGTATGATGGAGTGCTAGTGATGGGAACAAGATGAAGAGGGAGAAGTAGCTCCAGGAAAAGAAAAGAAAAACACCATGCTTCATGTCTGTACCAGGAGTCCTTTGGCTGCTTTGATCGAGCCAACTAGGACATTGCACGAGAAAAGAAGCTGAGACACGCTTAAGGGGCTGTGGTGATGGCAGTCAATTAACTTGCGATGAAGATTTTTCTGTACTTGATATTCTAGCCTGGAATTTGTTCGCTATTATGTGCGCTAGGTAAACAATGGCCGCTCTTATTGTTCTATGGATACAACCTTTACCATGAATGCAACAGACTCTTCAACTACTGGATCTACTGGATCCATATAGATAGGGAAAATTTCGATTTCTATCTACTTGATGATTTATTTTGATCTCCTTCAGAGAACAGAAGCCACTGCGTAAGCCATAGTGCAGCACAATAATATGATAGTCTCTCATTCTCACCTGTTCACCTACCCCACTTCATTCCCCTCCCCTGGCCCAGACTGCCCGCAGTCTCAGCTAGAGCGTCTCTTGTCATGGCACAGAGTCTCCCACCATTAAGATTGCCGCAATGAAGGACGAGTGGGCCAATGACAGGAAGGTACGGATTACACATGCTGGAAAATACCTAAAGATGGACTAATCCTGCTCGAATGGGATCTTCTGCAGATCCTATCACAACTCTCCCCACCTAATTCCTCTAAGCGCCGACAGCCTTCAATCCAATCAGAACAAGGAGATGTCAGGATGATAGATGCTCAGCGGCTACCGATGCCACAGCTGCGTGCTCATATATCTCACCAGTCTGCGCAGTTGATCTTTTGAATGAGAACATGGCTGTCAACCAGCTTGCATGGTCCTTGAAAGAAGTCCCTCACTCAAACTAAAACGGCGACAGATTGAGTTTGGAAACGACTGACGAATACGAGGATATCCCATTTTGGTTGTGCTTGGTTCCCTTTAAAATCTTCTCATTTCCTCTGTTGTCTCGACTGCACCGGTCAGAAAACTACCGAAGAAGAGGAGAACAAGGGAAACCATGGCGAGTTCATACCCACCTCCTCCGACTCAAGAGGGCTATTATCCTCGTAAGTACAACTCCAAAGCTGAACTAGACTAATATACATGCTAATCCGCTTTGTGATTAAGCGCCTCCAAGCTCCGGAGGTATGATAACAAACCGTTTCTTGCATTGGGAATATAGTCTCATTGATGCTCTACATAGCTTTTCCACCACCTCCCCAGCCGTCACCAGGATTCCCACCTCAGAACTTCAGCTACCCTCCTCCACCGAAGCAACCGACTCCTGCAAGTCCCCCACCGGGAGAAGCACATGCGGCCGCATATGCAACCAATCCATACGGACAGAGCTCTGTATCGCATCCCCCGCAGCCGCAGAGCCACCAGCCGACGCCATCTCAATCTTCGAACATGGCTGTGCAAGCCCAGGGGACATCCGTCGGGCCGTCTCAATTCGGCCAGGTCGTGAACTCAACTACCCAGGACGATGTGGGGACATTCAATGGCGGAAGCTACAGGATCAGCCACCGGGACTCAAATTCCCTTCTGACGCTACAGCTGGCGGTAGGATGTCCGATTGAAGCCAAGCCAGGTGAGTGCTATTTCTTCAGAATCTGAAGAGTCGACGAGACTCATGATACGGTCAGGAGTAATGATCGCAATGTCGCACTCGATCACACTAAGAGGAAGCGTCAAATTCTCCCTGAAGAAAATGTTTACCGGCGGCGAGATGTCATTGTCCACATACACCGGCCCCGGCGAGCTTCTGCTTGCGCCCTCGGCACTGGGTGATATCATTGTGCTGCGCTTATCCGGCTCGGACCCGTGGAAGGTCGGAAAAGACGCCTTCCTGGCCGCGACTAGTGGCATCTCCAAGGACTACCAAGCGCAAGGGTTGTCGAAGGGTGTCTTCTCCGGAGAGGGATTGTTCGTGTATAAGCTGTCTGGTGTCGGTCTCGTGTGGCTCCAGAGCTTTGGCGCTATCATCAAGAAGGATGTAAGCTACTCTTCCTCTCGCTTCTTAAAACCCACTCTTGCACCATCCACCATCTGGAAACCCTCTTGACTCACTGACGATGAAACTATCCAGATGGCCGATGGCGAATCCTACTACGTGGATAACGGTCATCTCGTCGCCTGGAACTGCAAGTACAAGATGGAGCGTGTCGCTTCAGGAGGTATCATTTCCAATATGAGTTCTGGCGAAGGCCTGGCATGCCGCTTCACCGGTCCTGGAACCGTGTACATGCAGACGAGGAACGTCACTGCCTTTGCCGCGCATATCGGAGCACATACTGCCAGTAACTAGAGTATGGCGTTAGATGGATGGATGGACAGGAGCAGAGGCTTCTACGCTCTCAATTTCTGTAAATTCTCATGTTTGGCGTTGTGATTCCTTGAGCGGATGCTGTTTTATCTTGATTCATCTCTACTGGCATTTCTTATCTCATTATCCGATTACGATAGCCCTTGCAGAATGAGAATAAAGTGGTTCCCAGACACGCGGACTTCACTTCTGGTCTTCACGTCGTCTCTATTTTTCCAAATCCGGCATAACTCACGACATCACATTTTCGATCCTTTTGCATCACATCCACATAGAAGAGGAACGTTTATACAAAAATGGGGGAAATAAACAGGAAAAAATAAAAGAAAAGTATCTTCCGACAGCTGGCTCCATGTAGATCCCCCACCCAGCCATAACATCGTTTAGCCTTGTCTCTTTCTGCGGCCAACCTGTCCACGGAAACCGGTCTTGATGGCGGCGACCGACCGACGAGAACCGCAGGAGTTGCAGGTAACGAAGTACAGACGGTTTTCACCCTTGTTGAGTTCAGTGTCGGGGCTGCGGCAGGTTTTGCAGGTAACATATTCGACTGGAGATTGTCAGCTACTGTATTCTGTTACAAGAGGGGCGAAAAGTAACATACCGATATATCTTCTCAAGACGTTCTCAATCTGCTTCTGCTGGAAACGACCCTTGATGACCAGACGCCTGCTACCATCGACACTGCCGCTGGTACCCAATTCGGCGAACAAGAACTGCATGACGTGGTCGTCCGAACGCTTCATACGCTTGCAGATATCGGCGATGTTTGCAAAGATGGTACGACGGTTACCTTCACGCAGACACTGAGGTGGAGGAATCTTATACGACTTGGTGCCGCTGGACAGCATGTCGGGGTGGTGGCTCTGGATGAGGGAGAAGAATCGGGAGACGAGGAGCGAGTACGGGATGGCCTGGGTCGCGTCGTGGGCCCAGATACCGGTGCCCGCTTCGAGATCGCCCTCAGGCAACTCGCCCTCCTTCTCCGCGGCATCGGCCTTCTCTGAGATACCGGCTTCGGCGAGCTTGGCCTCGAAGTCACCTGTGTCGACCTTCTTGACCTTCTTCTTCTTCTTTTTCAGGGCGGTGGGGTCGAATTCGCCATCGGCGGCGGCAGCGGCCTCGTCCCCTTCATCGGCCTCAGCGTCCTTGGGCTTCTTTGTCTTCTTCTTTTTCGAGAGACCCTTGAAAAGTTCAGTTACTTCGTCGACCGCCGTGTCTGCTGTGCCTGCTTAAAGTCAGTCTCGCCTGCGACCGCGGGTTTGAGCGAAAGGTGAAAGCATACCAGCTTCATTCTCAGCTGTGGTGATTTGAGCCGCGGGAGCCTCTGTGACTTCGCCGTTTGTGTCCATGATGACTGCACCTTCACTGAAGGCAACGGATTTGCGTTGCTTTTGAGGAGTGGGCTCGACCTGCTAATGGACCCGACGACAGGTTAGCAAGGCGGAAATAAATTAACAGTGATGATATCTCTCAGAAAACAGGGTCTAGCGATTGTTCACTGCCAAAAATACAGCTGAACGTTCCAAGTGAAGGTGAGGCGGCAAGGTAAATGTGATTAGGCCGATGGGGGGCATGAAATGTGAAGATGTCCGCATTAAAGAAAATGTGGGAGGGCAGAATCGGTAAAGGGAAAACAGGGTGTGACGTACAGCATCCGCCATATTGTATGTCTTTCTTGCAGCAGTAGGCACTTCCAAATATGATAACAGTCAGGAAGAATGTTATCTAGCAGTAAAGACTATGCTTATAAGTAGCCTGAAGAGAGGTCGATATATTGGTAGAGCCATATCTTTGGGTTCGCGATGGCAATTCTGTTATCGCGGTACAGGCTCACGTGACTGTGAGTCAAAATGCTGTGGTCTGGTATTACCGTAAGGTATACACGTGACTTGGCTCCCCTGGATTACATCAGGTCTGTCTCCAGATGCCTCGCAAGTATTGGGGTTCCGATCTTGAATATCTCTATCGGTCGGCAACACTTCATGCTGCAATCCTTGTTCAGGCAGTAGGCAGGCCGCTGCTTGATCTCATTATCGGTGTTTTACTTCGCTCATTGTCCCGTCCCGTGTCCCCAACCTAAGTCAATTTCACCATGTCGTACTCCTCACCCTCCGCCTCTAACCCGTCCCTCGCTACGTCTGCCTACATGGTGTCTTCGGTAGACAGGTACACTTCCGGCTCAGACGATGAAATTGCGTCCCTTCCATCTGAGTCTACCACCGCTTCAGATCTAGACACACTTTCAGACGACTACTCGGATGCCGAGGAGGAATGGAGAGAAAGCATTGAGCAGTTGGAGTTACTATTGACCATGGTCATCGTCCCGTTTATCGGAAAGTATCTGGGACGGAGATGCGCTTATTGGGGTATGCCCGTTGATTTCCGCAGCTTGCAAACAGGACTGATAAGAGTGATGTAGGCTGGACTCGCTTTATGGAATGGAAATACCCAGTCGAAGTCGTCATGACCAACAAGGCAGCCTTCAGGGGAGCCGGTATCGTTGAGGCTTTATCCCCACTGTGAGTGTCTTGACAAAGGCAAGTCATCATCACAATTCGATCTGCAGTTGCGGTCGTACCATGCATCGAGACGCAATGTCGTGATACCCGCAGTCCTCGGGGAGCTCCGCAAAGAGCAGCAGCAGCTTCCATCTCTGGAGGTTGTCCCATTACCCTGCGCTGGCGGCTCTTTGGTTACATTCAAAAACGAGAAAGCTTTACCTCGCGGTGTAGGAAGAGTTAGCGATCTTGTCCGATGAGCTGCTTCTGAACCTGGGTACAGTACTTATGTAAATATAGTTAGAGGCACACTACCAAGTTTCCTTTTATACCCAATTCAAACCATTTACCTATTTGGCCAACTCGCGAGGTTCAGAGAGTGGAGCATAGTCGGTGGTCGTATGGACGCTCCTGTAGGTTGCTAACTGTCAGACAAACAGCCAAATGGTCGAATATACATATGACCGCTTCGATCAAGAATGGAACACGGTCAATACGTCAATGAAGTCTAAGGAGAGTGCTTGAGTATTGAATTTTTAGTCTATAAGGAATCTTAGAAGAAAAACTATGGAAAAGCATGTCGCCATGCAATGGCCGTCAACCAATCTTAATTATCCCGATAAGCGAGATGAAGCGAAACTGAGAGACAAGCAAAAAGCACTAATAAATTCCATCATCATGAACTTGTGCGTCATTCACGCTTAGGAAATGCGATAAAGAGCCCGGCATGATCATTTTCATAATCGTATCTCATAACTTATCTGGCGGAAAAGGTACGGAGAGAAACGAGCTAGGTATTTTCGACTGAGGCATTTATTGGCCGTTACTCGAGGGACGCCAGCCTGGAGGGAAATTAGTGATTATTCGGAAGGAAAGCAATCGGTTCTACTCACTGCCACCGCCGTAACCCTGGCCACCTGTAAGGGACTTGTCAGAATAGAGATCGTTGAACGATTTGATGTGAGCACATACCGCTTCCGGGAGCACCCTCGGACTGGTTGTAGCCACCACGGCCGTGGAAGCCACCGTTGTTACGGGGAGCGCGCTCGGAGGCCTTGTCAACACGAATGGTGCGTCCATCGAACCTATATGCGTCATTTGTTAGCCCTTCTGCGATGGGAGATACAGCTCAATAGAGTACAACTTGGGCACTCAGGCACAATCTAGGGTCTCAAGAGATTTGGGAAAGCTTACTCCTGGTTGTTCATAGCGTCCATGGCAGCATCAGCCTCGCCATCGTTGCTGAAACGGACGAAACCGAAACCACGGCTGCGGTTGGTGTCACGATCCTTGACAACAATCTGCGCGGCGTGAAAGAGTCATTAGCATGGTATCGTAAAGTGATAACAATGAAAAAGATGATGTGATAGTGAGCAATGAGAGGGGAAGGGTACTACTAACAGCTTCTTCAACAGTGCCGAACGCTGAGAAACCCTGACGAAGGGCGTCGTCAGTGGTGTGCCATGCGAGGCCGCTATTAAACCGTTACTTGAGAAAATGCGTTGGAGTTTTGACGTAAAATGAAAACACACCCGATGAAAAGCTTAGACATGTCGAAGGTTGAATGTAACTGTTTAGTTGAATTAGTACTGAGATACAGTGACAGTTTTCCTAAGATCAAGAGATCGAAATATGTGGATGAAAAGAAGAAGGGGAGGGGCAGAAATCGGGAGTAGAAATTTCCCCCCTTTCTGAAAGAAATTTTTTCACAGGTAGTCTCACTGCGGCCTGAGGAGATCTGTGGAACGCAGCAAGACAAGGAACACTCACAGTAGAAACTTTTGGTTGCTGAAAGACAACAAGTGTTAATATCACAGATGATTTAGATGAGAGGAAGAGTGTTCTCACAGTTTGACAAGAAGAGCAGTGGATTAGCTGTGCAGAACCTGCAAAGTGGGAGAAATGAAAAAGAGGACTGGAGGAGGTGTAGCAAAGAGGCAAAGCGGGGTTTACTGATTACTACTCCTACGAGCTATGGTACTCGGCAATATTATTTCTGCATAGCAATTATAAATTGATAAGCGGGAGCGATTATGTTATTACTAGTACTATGCATGACAAGCGCACAAAGAGAACAGTTTAAGGACGCTAGAAAATGGTCACCACTGACCTACGAGCTGATGCGCACCTCCGTCCCCCTCATTGGGAAGTCAGCAGCCCATCTGCAGCCTTTGCACAGTAGCAGGTGGGAACTGGAAAGGCCGGAGCAAGCAGAAGCCTGAATCTTACTCCAAAGTGCCAAGAAATCCGTGTTTTGAAAGAGTCGGTGACTCGAACGGGGGTCTGGGGATTGGGGAGTTTTTGATTTTCTCCCTCATTTGTCGTACCATGGGTGGTAAGGTATTTCACCTTGTACCTCGCATATCATCCTACATTAGTCGGAGTTTGTCCATCCCTGTCTATGAACACTTCTGCAGAAGGTACCTAGTATCTCCTAGTATTGTGCTGTTTCTCATCTCTGAACATGATGCAGTATGGTGTACTCCGTAGTCCATCCCCTATCTCTAAGGCATAGTGAACTTCTCGTTAAATTATGGAGGTCTTTGAAATCTGTGAAACTTTGTCGGGAAGGAGAAAGGGCAAAAAGAAAAATTCGAAAAAAGAAAAGGAAAACAGAAGAAGGAAAAATTTGGACAAGATCTCCTTTGCTTGATTGTTTTACTGAAAAGCTATGCCTAGTCTAAACTGTCTAAGTCTAGCAATAATGAGCACGCAAGATTGTCAATCACATCTCACAATCACCCTGAGCCGGTAGATGGTCGTTTTGGTTGGTGGGCTTGCAGTTGACACGGGATGCCAAGAAGAGGGAGATACTCCTATTAGGGCAGGTGATTTGATAACCCGTTTAACTGCTCCCTTTTGCCCCTCCTCATAAGGTACTAGTGTATTGAAACCGATCTCCGATCCAACCACTTTATCACTTAGAAAGAGGCCAAACAACGAAAGTTTGGAGGGGAGGGGCAGAATTGATAATGGTGGAGAATTGATCCACATGTGCTGTTATCAACTTATCTAGGCTTATGCCTTGATAGGAAATATAAGCGAGACACTTAGAACCCACCCTAGCTTACTAGGTAGATTAGCTTTATCAGACTATGTACCTCTCCAGGTGCATAAGAAGAGTATTATTATGTCTTGTCTGACTCTAAATGTGATGAGGTCAATATGTTGATATCTCTTGCCATGACTGAAACTCGCGGATGCTTCTTTGATACCTGGATGGCCCAAGACAGCTGGCGAGGAAGCTGCTGCCTGAGTCTTGATTTCCCGTTATGGAACAGGTGCATAGACAATCGTCCATCACCGACGGTGTCAACTCCAGAAAGAAACGCTTGCCAGCCGACATGATCCTACTGGCAACAAGCTCAGCGCAACGAGCATCCTCAATCCGAGCACAGCTATATTCATGCATCAGTCCTCGCGAAGACATCGTCACCTGGCGCCAGATGCCCAGGAGTTGATTCTCGAATGGCTTTTTGAACGGGAGAACTCGCCGACGACTTACACAAGCCATCATGCCTCGGGTCGTGCAGAAGGTGATTTTTTTTATTCATCATTCCCAGAAGTGGTTTTCTAGGGGCCTTTTTCGCTGACGGATTTCTGTTTATCACTGAACAAGCGACTCCAACGAAGAGCCAGCAATGTCACAGCAGTGGGGTTCCTATCATGCAGCCTGTATCAACTCCTACGAGAAGGGCGCTGCGCGAAGGAAGCTCTTTTACTCAACGTTCCCCTCCCTTGAACCGTATCAGATGGTCTCCTTATCCTGAAACGCATCCTATTGAAAAACGGACAATTTCCGAAAAGGGAAGCAAAGGTGGATACGAACGCAAACCACGACATAAGACCAAAGAAGACCGTTACGAGTACAAGGGCTCAAACTCTCGAATACAAGGAAAACAATCGCCGATAAAAACGAAAAAGTCATCAAAGCAGGTTAGAAGACATACGATCAATGACAACTTCCATGCTTCCAATGTCCCACGAGATAGATTGACAGTATGCATCGGACTTCAGTAGTCAAGAGAGCCATTGCTGATGGCTTGAACAGCTACGTTCACACCTAGATCTAGGTATTTTCAGAAGAGGGAAAACCTCATCACCAGTAAAGGTCGGCGAGCTTCGACATTTTCCTCATTTCTCGCGCATTCGCAAGCTGGTAAACCGAGGTCGAGTACCTGAGAAGAGGTTCTCAGAGACAAAATTCTTGAGCAAGAAATTGCAGAGCGATAGCGAGGAATACACAAGCTATCAGAGTCCGAACAAAAAGCGGAAGACTCGAGCAAATCCTGAGGATTGTCAACTACTCATTTCAAGCTACTTCCCACTTGGCTCACTCGAAGATGAGGCTCCTATGCAGGGTTTCGAGATGGAGGCAAGCGGTACCTTGTTGCATTCATCTCCGAACGTACAACCACGATCCCCAGCAGACTGTAGGGTGCGCGACACAGCAGCGAAGAGGCATGCCGCTGTTGCCGTTCAATATCCGGCTGATCAGCCTAAGTACTCCGGGGCGTACCATCCTGATGTTCGAGGGTGCGAAATCTCTCTGTCATCAACACCTATCAGTATTTCATTCAATGAACATGCCGCATTCTTGTCTGAAAGCTGGACAGAGTTTTACACGAAACAGCTTCTGCATTTTGACTTGAGCTCACGAGACAAGGCCGAAGATGAGTCTACCCATTCAGGTAGAAAGTACTGGAGCTTGGAGGACCTGAAGCTCCTGCTACAAGAGCGAGAGAAGTTTCGGCAACACGAGAGAGGGCCCCAAGTTGTGTCAGAGAACTCACTCTCAGGTAGCAGACGCAACATTCGCAGAGCAAGCTCTATCTATGAAGTGGAGGACGCTGATGAAGATCATTTAAAGGAACGCAAACAAATGGTGCTATTGGAAGAGATGGGAAATAGTTTCGTTGAGAATAACGCAAGCGTTGATACGAAATTTATCTTTCCAGGGCACTTTGATAAGGGTCTCAACAACGAGCTAGATTTTCAGCACACATCTAATACACCTCTAGCGAGACCCAAGCAGACGCTGGGTAATGTGAGCAACGCTGGCGCGAAGGAAGAATTTGACTTCTGCTCCGACACGTGGAAATGCTGCGAGTATCCTACCAAAGCCCAAGATGAGCACTTCTCCTCCTCGGTATCTCAAGCCGGACCGTTTGAACAAGGGGCCGACCTCCAGCTCGGCTCAGGAGCAGGAAGGGATAAAGTTGATGACGACGTGGTCATGTTCTTTGCTGAGGAGCCCCAACTTCAGGACGATATCTATGATTACTTCGCCACAGAGGCGCTCGATGTGGCAGCACATGACGCGATCATGCATCCAGAGGAAGATACTTTGGAATGTGTGTGGGACTATGCAATGCGGATCCCTCTGGGTGCTGATGGTTTCGAAAACTACCCAGTCTCTCAAGGCGTCCTTCCAAATCGAGTCATGACGGATAAAGCATCACTACATTGTCCATTGAACGCTGTACCATATCCGCCGCATGACGTTCTATCCTCACATGAAACGATGGAGCGGGCATCGGATGTCTGGGCCGTGAGGCGATGTGGCATGGATCAAGGGTTAATTGATATTCCCAGGGATTTTTGGCGGCAGAACAGGTTATATTGATTGTCGCTTGGTACCGCGTCACATCAGCTTGCTTGGTAGAAACGATTGTTGGTACTGATTGGTAACTGTTAGTGAGCATCACCGCTGATTTTGATATATATCAGTAATGCCGTGTGTTATGATAGTATTTTCATCCTTTTATGCTTCCGAATCTTGTCCCTTTTCTTCGCCTCCCCTCCTTCTTCTTCCCTACTTGCGATTCTATGACGGGGATATTTCATGCAGGAGAAAACCCAAGTCCCAACCGAAGGTGGTCGAGTGTAGGGTCCAACAGAGCTTCAGTAGGGTTATGGGCCGTTGCTAGCCTTTAGCATAACATCTATAGGCACCGCAATATGTGTGACGCACCTTTCCACCTCGTGGTGTACCTAATTTCCTAGCTTGTTCGCCTGGACCTCACAAGCAGTTGGGGAGAGTCCCAGGTACCGACTGTCGTTGATCCTCACGCATTATTGACCATTCTGGTCGCTGGTTTCGATCTGTGTAATAAAGCCAATAAGCAGGTCAGATTCGATTATTGGCAGAAATACTTTGTCTGAGTGAGGAGTAGTACAAGTCGGAGAGTACTGAATACCTGAGTCATTTGCAGATTCCGCACCAAGATTTTGGGTCAGTTGTCCCATCCTTCCACGGACCTGATATAGTCAATTCTATTGGATAAAGCGAATTATTGTGGCATTCTAAGCGAAGAGAACCATAAGTCCTGGACTGGTTTTGGGTCCAAAAGGTGCATCTGGGTTTGGATGGGAAATCGTTTGCTTTCGTAGGGCATCAATGGCCCTGTCAACGTGGGTAAGAGACACTCTGAAAACCATAGCCTGAGCACCGTGTTCGCATCTAGAGCATGCCTATCCGCCTTTTGGGAGAATCTATCATCGAGACTATGGGTATATCGGTGTCTACCCCGATTTGGTACATGATTTGTTAGTCGTTCAGCTGGAGGTATGATGAATAGGACATTGTGGGCAGACGTTGAGTACGGCCAGTAATTATATTCTCTCCATTGAGATCATATAACTCTTTGAAAGAGAGATGGAACTGCCATATATATCCAATGTATACCGTCTATTCTATCTAATCATCATGTATAGCCGTCATCTGTACATAAGCCTGAACACTATTCGATCTTCGAGGGCTGCCTATGCGCCTCCGCCCAAGACGCTTCGAGGGATTGCTTCACATCTCTTTCCGCAGCCGCCTCTTCGGCTGTCGATTCCTCCGTGCTCTCAATCGCCTTGACGCGTCGCACCAGATCCGTGACATGCATATCGGCACTGCCGAGGCCTAGCCCCTCCAGCGCTTTCTCAAGCAGGTACAGATACTCGGTGTTCTTCCCGCTCTGACCGCGCCCGCGGCTAATCACCTCCGCGACATCCTGGGGTTCGCGGCGAGCCGGGTCGCGCAGGAATTGCGGATTGGTAGGCTGCCCGATATACACCATGCAGGTGATTGGTGCAGCGTGCGCCTGCGATGGCGACTGCGTCTGTGGCGCCGCCTCCGTCTCGGGAACCTTGGAGACGGTGGATGCGGAGACGGCGGATATGGGATGAAAGGGGGTGTAGTGGACAGTGTAGCCGTCTATTTCCCGGTCGTCGAGGTAGTCGTGGACTTCCTCGGCGTGGGACGCGGGGATGTGGTATGCTGCGCCCCAGACGCGGGCTGCTGAGGATTCAAGATGTGCGTGCTGTTCGGTCAGAGGCAGATTTCAGGTAAGCCGTGAGGAAGCGGCTTACCGGGTCATCTAGGGTTTCCCAGAACCCCCGTTCTATGACTGTCACCACACGACCTGGGGCTTCTGGGGTGCCGCGATGGTCGGTGCTAAGATTGATCAGCGATATCTTGGCAATAGCCGAATTTTGGGAGTGTGTACCTGGCCTAGGGAATGTCAGAGCCGACTAGAGAACGGGTGCATCTGGTGAAGTACAAACCTGCCAGAAGCGTCGGACATAGCCGTCGATATAGCCTGGGATTCGTTGGTCTGTGCCAGAATTAGATGCAGAGGCCAATGTATAGTTTGACAGATGATACACACCATAGTGTGGTGGTGGTTTCCAAATGAGACTCCTTTACCACCAGTTAGATCTGAATGATAACCAGAACAGGTTGAGTGATGAGAGGCAGTTGGACTGGGCTCGTAGGAGCATGACTTACCCATAGCCAAATACCCAAAGGTCACCGTCGGGAAAGTAGTTGCGCCATGTTCGGCCCGCTGGTGGACTTTGAGTCTTTTCTGGAGTGGTCATATCTGCTGAGCCCCTTGCCAGAGCAGCCCGAACGATGGCTAACACTCTTCTATAGATGAAGTTCGGTAAAAAGGTTGATACCTAAGCCGATGACCCCTGCCTCTGATCACACACGGCACAGAAGTCCTGGCGAGCGATCGAACCGTATTTAAGGCAATTTACTTTTTCAGATGATCTCAGTAACGTACTAAATAGTCCAAAAAAGAGGGTATGTTGGACTATGTCGATAGAATGGCGACAGTTTAATGCCAGATTATACAAGACGCGCTCAGTGTTTGCAGTGTTTGTCTCCTCTCGCTCTCCAGTCAGAGTCAATAATCTAGAGTCAATATTCAACCAGAAGTGCTCCAGATAGAACTGCTCTTGGAGAGACTACCGGTCTATCCAAGGAGCGCTTTTGCATCTCTCCGAAGCCATTCTTTGTGTACACTGCTAGTGGTATGCCAGCCCCGAATTGAATGGAAATCACATTCATGGCAGAAACGGATCCAACAGCTCCTCGCCACATCATTCATCGATTCACATCACACCCCTTATCCGGAGTGGTTCCTCCTGCTAGCCATATTATCTCAAGGTACTCAGGAAGAAGTGACGGACTAACGCAGTAGGGTATCTGGTAACTATCTAAGTGGGCTGCCCAGACGCCGCGGCAAGCCTAAGCAATGGACTAATTATTGGCTTCTGCTGTCTTGTACGCAGACTTAGGAGGGTACAGACTGCTCTATCTCTTATACCAGGTAAGTATAAAATGCCACAATAATTGAATTGGCCCTTTTCTTCGTCAAATCTTGGTTGAAATTCTCCCTTCCAGCTCCCCATGACAAGTTTGAGCGTTGAACTGATTATATAGCTCTATCTACCCGAAAGTCTTCTCGCTGAAGCGCCTTTGTTGTCAGCAGTCTGCCAAGGTTTACCTGCTGTATAAGGTCATGTAGCTCAATGTTGCTTTTCTATCTCAGACCAATATATCATTTTCATAAGCCGACATCAGCAACATACTCTTGTTTTATTACAGTCTCGGTCGTCATTACGGCTTGCCTTTTTTCGCTTTCTGCAAATGCCGTCCCCAGAAAGCTCGACCGGAATCTCCTTTGCAGGCAAAACAGTGGTCCTGACTGGGGCAACCTCTGGGCTCGGGTTCGAGGCTGCCATCAAACTGCTCAATCTCGGTGTGGCCTTTCTTATTATTGGCAGTCGCAACCTTGAGCGAGGGCAAGCGACTAAGGTTGAGCTGGAGCTGCACACCAACAGACCGGGGGTAATCCATGTCTGGGAATTGGACATGAGCAGTTTCCAAAGCGTCAAGGATTTCGCAGCTCGCGTCAACAGAGAGGCCGAACGGCTGGACGTTGTATTGCTCAATGCGGGATTGTGGAATCGAAGTTACACAGCGTCTCCTGATGGATGGGAGGAGACGCTGCAGGTCAACACACTGTCCACTTCGTTGCTGGCAATTCTGCTTCTTCCTAAACTCCGGAGTAGCTCGTCGCCTGAAAGCCCCAGTCACTTGAGCGTGGTATCAAGCAAATTGTTTACCAAAGTAAGAGCGGACAGTCTCCGGACTGAAGGCTCACTACTGGAACAGCTCAATGACCCCCAGCGCTTTAATGGACCCCAGCAATACCGGATCTCAAAGCTCCTGATGGAATATGTCCTCAAGACCGTCACGCTTCACACGCGTGAGGAGAATGGTTCGGTCCGAGTGATCATCAACACTGTCAGTCCTGGGTTCTGTGCGTCCTCTCTGGGACGGCAGTACGACCGATTCTACGAGCGATGGATGATGTGGTTAGTATATAAGCTCTTTGCTCGCACTGCGGAAGAGGGGAGCCGGTCTCTGGTCAGTGCGACTCATCAAGGACTCGAGTCGCATGGGAAGTGCTGGAGAAATGATGGCTACGTGGAGTAAGCATCCGGCCAATCTTTGACCATTTGTACTATGCTAATAGATATACAGTGAATCGGCTGCTTTGACCACGGGGGAGGAGGGCAGACAACTTCAAGCCAAAGCGTTTGAGGAAATCTTTCAAGTTCTTAGGCACTCGGCTCCAGAGGTCGAAGAATTGATCAAGAAATCGTAATGAAGGTGTCAATATATGGCTATCTGCCTGCAAATAGAGGATCCACCCTGAATCGGCCAGCAAAATGGGCCGTACTGTCACCAGGACTGGTAGGGCTGAACATCACCTTACAGTCCAAGGAGGAAAAACAACCCATGGTGGCTGGTTATTTGCTACTGGAATTACATTGGAAGCTCAGGGCGAACTTAGATAACGTTCTCTCAGAGGTCGTCTTCTGGATACTTAATGATAAAATCATCCCTTAAATCTGTCGTTTTGCTTATATCTTGGCATATTAATGAGCTCAAAAGATTGCCCCACGGCTCCGCTTTCGCATTTGCTGTCCGAGTACGACGAAAGAGCTAAAAGATAGTCAAGTCGCACCTGAACTTACTCCGAACTCCTGAATCACCTTCCATCTATCTACTTCATCTTCCTCGTTTATCCTCCCTATGAAATTGTGGGTGTCTTGAATTCTCCCCCGTCTTTTTAGATAGGAGCGCTCTCCTTCGTGCCACTCACTGTGCCCGCCCTCTGACGCCAGGCTACCATGGCTTACAACAAGTCCTACAACCCCGATGCGCTGCCAGCGTAAGTGTTTGTAAATGATGAGGTGACTCTGTGTCTGACTGACCGAGGAGGGCAGGCATGCTGAACCAGAACAAGTACGAACAAACTTCCGTCAGACAGATGTCCCACCCCCGCGACTGACTCCCAGCAGGTCGCCCAGTTGATCGGCGCGATGCAAGTATCCTCACAACCGCAGGCTCAGCGACCTCCTCGAACATCGTCTCATGCTCCGCCCAGCGGCACCCCCCAGCGAGTCCCCGTCACGAATGCTCAGATCAACAAACCCCTACCTGCGACCGGGCCGCCTCCCGCAAGCCATAGCCATGCGCGTCCGCATCCCCTCCACCCCTCGCCTCCACCCCAAAACTACGGCTTCGGCCCCCCTCCCTCGCAGCCCGTACGCAATCGCCCTTCCCCAGCCTCGCGTCCACCTCAATCCCCCGTTCCGCCTCCTCTGTCCGCCCCGCACGATGACCCCCAGCAGCTCTTCCCACTCTTCCGCGCTGCCAATGCCTCGCACTCGGGCGCCCTGACCGAGATGGAGCTCGGATCCGCCCTCGTAAACGGCGACTATACCTCTTTCCATCCCAAGACCGTCAAGATGATGATCCGCATGTTCGACCGGAACAGCAGCGGGACCATCTCGTTCGACGAGTTCGTGGCGCTGTGGCGGTTTCTAGCTGCCTGGCGGGAGCTCTTTGACCGGTTTGACGAGGATCGCAGTGGGCGCATCAGTCTGCAGGAGTTTGAGAAAGCGCTAGTTGCGTTCGGGTATAGGCTTAGCCAGCCATTTGTCACGGTGCTCTTTACCACGTTTGAGAGCAAAAAACAACAAATAAACGGGGGGCATGCAATGGGGCCGGCCAAGGACGGCATGAGCTTCGACCTGTTTGTGCAGGCGTGTATCAGTCTCAGACGAATGACGGACGTGTTCAAGCGGTATGACGAGGATCGGGACGGGTATATCACTTTGAGCTTTGAGGAGTTTTTGACTGGTAAGTTAGCTCTTCGAGGTTATCCTGTCTGATTGATTGACTGACTGAATGCCACGATGCCGTGTAGAGATCTTACAGTTACAGGATTAGAGAGGGATGAGTGATTGTGCATTGTGTGTACATGATTATTCTGCATTTTGAATGTGTTCTTGACTTCTTGTACTTTTTATGCTTCTCTTTTTCCCTACATACATTATACCCCTGAATAAATCTTGAAGCCATAACACAGCTCGTCATGATCTCAATGGTTGTCTCATTGATGCTGTACTCCCATGCCAAGGAATGCTTGATATTAGACATTGCATATAAAGCTTGAGGAAAATAAAAAAGTAAAGAGCTCGGAGAATAAATTATTCTATCAAATCCTCAGATCTTCATCTACTTTAAAGCCTTTTCCCTAGTTCCATTGCGAAATGCGTCGCACGTCAATTGTTAACAGACATGTGAATGAAATGACGAACTCCATGTAGTATGAATTATCCACATTCTTTTTGCCAACTGTTATTCTCCCACTGTTCGTATCATCAAAAAGATCGCGTCTGTTCCGACGTCCGAGTATGACTCAATGACCACCATGAAAGGCGAACATGCTTAGGGCGTTGGAGAAAAACACGTCGTCGGCCTTCGTATTTCGGGCTCGGACTCGCATAAGTCTGTTAACGCCGGCAGTCTACACTGGTTGACTTCTTCAAAGGGTTCAAGGCTCGAGGCTTCAACATTTAAGACTGCGAGTGACTCTGGTTTCTTCTTTCTTCATCTTGATCTAAATATCTAAACTTATCTTCCACTGAAGATATCCCCCTTGGCAGTTCGTCGTTGTGTCGATCGGCGATCAATTAGATCCTTCTCTTCGATATTTTTTAAGCCGTCGGCTTTACCCGAAACTTTTTCAACTGACTCGTATTAATATTCTCTTGGCTACCTTTCCCCGCTGCCAAGTTGAGTCAGATTTCTTTTTCTCAGCTCTCTCTTTTCTCGTTTTATTCTGCTCAGATCATGTCAGAGAGAGATCATGACTACGACAACGATAACAACACCAGTTTAATGATGTCGGACAGAATCTCTCGCTCTGAGGAGGACAGCTCGGAAAAGTCCGCCACTATGACGCCTCCGTCCACTGGGGATGGTCAACTGCCTGTCAACAACTCAGATCATCCGTCCCATGAGAAATCAGCCGGGAAAGATGTTGAGAAAGATGGCGCGCCGTTGGACCGGACGCAGTCTCAGGCGCAGAAGCTGGGGAAGAAGAAGATTCTGATTATCATGCCTGCGCTTTGTGTATGCATCCTCTATGGATATTTGACCGCTGCCATAGAACTATGCTGACGATGTCTAGTTGGTGTTGTTTCTGGCCGCTTTGGATATGGTACGTGGCTTTCACTCTTATTGATTATTCACAAGAGTCCAGACTGACTTTGTCTAGACGATCGTTTCAACGGCCCTTCCAACCATGGCTGCCCAGTTTCATGCCTCGGAAAGTGGTTATTCATGGATGGCTTCCTCGTACCTGCTCGCCAATGCGGCATGTATCACCCTCTGGGGCAAGATCAGTGACATCTGGGGCCGTAAGCCGATACTGCTCATAGCCAACGTTGTGTTCCTGGTTGGCAGTCTGATTTGCGCTCTTGCGGTCAGCATGACCATGATGCTGGTTGGACGGGCGATCCAGGGTGCAGGGGGCGGTGGTATCATTGTCTTGGTCAATATTTGTGTTACTGATTTGTTCAGCGTTAGGTAGGCTGAGCCTCTTTCTTTGATTTGGACTACTCAGTGCTAACTCTTCAAGGGAACGGCCCATGTACTATGGTCTTTTCGGTGTGACGTGGGCCATCGCCGGTGCTCTAGGCCCCATTATCGGAGGCGCTTTTACAACTGCTGTGACCTGGCGGTGGTGTTTCTACCTGAACTGTATGTATCAGTTTCGTTGACCTGTGGTGTGAAATCAAGCTGATTTGCTCAGTACCCGTCGGTGGCGTCTCGTTGGCAATCCTCATCTTCTTCCTCAAGCTCGAATCCGGCGGCACGCCGCTGTTCGAAGGCCTCCGGTCTATCGATTGGACCGGCACTGTCCTCATCATCGGAGGCACGCTCATGTTCCTCTTCGGCCTGGAGTTCGGCGGCGTCAACTACCCCTGGGCCTCGGCCACAGTCATCTGCCTGATCGTCTTTGGCGTGGTGGTCTGGGTCCTAGCGATGCTTAACGAGTGGAAACTCGCCAAGTACCCTCTAATCCCTGTGCGACTCTTCAAGAACTGGCACAACCGTCTCGTCCTCATCGTCTGCTTCTGCCATGCCTTCGTCTTCATCGCCGGCTCATACTACCTCCCGCTCTACTTCCAGACCGTGCTGCAGGCCACCCCGATCCTCAGCGGCGTCTACGTCCTCCCCCTGGTTCTCAGCCTCTCCGTCGTCTCCGCAGGCACAGGCATTGTCATCAGAAAGACGGGCCGCTACCGCGAGCTGATCGTCGGCGGTCTGGGCCTCATGACCCTTGGCTTTGGCCTTCTCATTGACCTCAAATCCTACGCCTCCTGGCCCCGCATCATCATCTACCAGATCATCGCCGGTGTAGGCGTCGGGCCGCTCTTCCAGGCTCCCCTTGTCGCCTTCCAAGCCAACATCCACCGCTCCGACATGGCAACCGCCACCGCAACCTTCGCCTTCATCCGCCAGGCCTCCTCCGCCGTTGCCGTCGTCCTGGGCACAGTCGTCTACCAAAACGTCCTCGCGCGCCAACTGCCCCGCATCGAGGCCGCCACAAACCCCGAAACCGCAGCCAGAATCGCCAGTTCCTTCGCGGGCTCCACCAGCTCGCTCGTCGGCTCGCTCCCCGAGTCTGCGCGCGTCGTCGTCTTCCAGGCCTTCACGCACAGCCTCAGCAGACTGTGGATCTTCTACGCGGCCGTCGGCGGCTTCGGCTTCCTCGTCAGTCTCTTCATCCGGCCCGTCGAGCTGAGCAAGGCGCATACCTTTACGAAGACCGGCTTGGCGGAGCAGGAGCGCGCCCGGAAGGAGATTCTCGAGGAGCAGAAGGCTGCCGCCGCGGCCAAGCGGACGGATCCGTCGTCTGGTCCGTCGCCAAAGGCGGAGGTATAGCCCGCCCTCTACATTTCTTCATCTTTCTCGAATGTCTATACTTATATTTAATGTACATAGTCGGTAATCGGGATCGTTCATGGGATGCTGTGTTTCGCGTTCCATGCACGGTGCGTACATAGTGCTTTTGCATTGCACTCGCCGAAATCAGGCGCCTATAAAGCATACTCCATACATACCCAATTTCTACCTTCAGTAGGACGACTGTGACTACTAGCTGTAAAAGTCGGAGGCGAGTGCTACGTACTCAAGAGATTCATAAAGGAGCCTCGCAGCTCAAACAATTCTTTTACCTAATTAGTACAAGCAAATACGAATCACATTCCCAAGTTCTTCCAGAAAACGCACTGGAGCCGTATCAACAGCAAGAGGACCAGAAAAAAGGAAAGGGGTATAAGCTATCAACAAATCCAAACTGTGACAAACGAAAGGTGAGAGCAAAATAAAGAAAGAGGGGCCCGTGCAGCCATCGCGATATCCAAGTAAAGAAAAAAAGCCCAAACGCCCTAAAATGCCTTAGGTGAAACAAGATTTTTTTAAGACAAATCAAATTGCAAGCGCAGTCCCGGTGGACAATCACGTTTTGGATTTCTTCGCTGTTCCCTCAATGCTAGAGCCGCCGTCGGGACTTTTGCGCTTCTTCTCCTGTTCATCTTCGCGCGTGAACCCTGGACCGGTCTGAACAGCTGGAGTGGGAAAGGCCAGAGGACTAGGCAGCATGTTCGTATCGGGACCGGACCTGCCGAACCCCCATTCCGGGAAGAAACTCGACGGCGATGGAAGAAGAGCATCAGACACAAATCGGCTGGGCAGAGCAGAGATCGGCGTCTCTATATTGTTATTGCTGTTGTACGCATTGCTGTTCTGGCTTGCAGTTCCCGGCGGCGGCGGCCGAGCGAAGGGATTTGGGGGCCCTGTGGCGCCTGCGCTCAGGATTGCACCAGCAGATGGCGACGGTGGAGGGAGAACCACGCCGGAGTGATTGGTGTCGGGATTAGCCTTGGCAGGAGTCACCGTCTTGATTCCGGTGGAAGACGAGGAATCTGCTGTAGCACTCCCCTGGTCAGAATTCTCGCTGGGTATTTGCACCTTGAGCTGTGGCCGCTTCGAGGGCAGTTGACCACTATTCGTCCGTGGTGGTGGCTTAATATCAGGAGCTGACTGAGACCGCGCTGCATCGGTTGTGGTACTAGGCGGGGGTGGGCGCGCAACAGATTGAGCGGGTGGCTTGATTTCTTGCAAGTCATTCCGTTTTGATTCTGCCTTGACGTCGGTACTCTCAGTGCGCGGAGACTCGCATGTAGGTGGGCCGAGTCCGAAGTGACGGGCCAGAACGGAGCCGCGGTCATCGATCGGCGTGAAGATACTGCGCGATTTGGAGGACAACGATCGCTGGTGCGGGGGAGAGGGGCTTGTTTCCACCTTCAAAGGACCAACCATCTGATCTGCCGAGGAAGCATCGGGCAGGGACACCGGTCGAGGTGGTTGCGGCTGTTCTGTCGGAAACGCTGGGGGCATCGAGTTTCTCCCTTGTTCGGGCAAGAAAGGCTGCGCGACCTGTGGCATTGACGCATGAGGCGCTTGCGAGAGTCCCATCGCAGGTGTCTGCTGAGCAAGCGGATGTGGATGCTGGGGGAGATGCTGCGGGGCTTGATGGTGCGGCGGGACTGGTTGAGGCATGGTATGTGGAGGTATGGCGTGCGGCGGCAGTGCCTGTTGCGGTCCATAGTGTGCGAATTGGGGTGGCCGCGGTTGTTGGGCCATGTTGGGGTTGGCATTGGGATGATACATCGAGGGATTGGGAATGTATGCGAATCCATTCTGTGGAGGAGGCGGTGGAGTTCCATGATGTTGCTGCGGGCCCAGATTTGAACTCACGCGTCGAAGATGGTTTCTTGAGGAAGGTCTCGAAGCGCCTTGAGGTTGCGGAGTGCCATGTCTCGGGTCAAAGGGTATTCCATTAGAAATGGGCGGGGAGGCGGACGGTGCGTGAT